AGAGAGAGAGAGAGAGAGAGAGAGAGAGAGAGAGAGAGAGAGAGAGAGAGAGAGAGAGAGAGAGAGCTGTGATTTGAGACTTGACGACATTGGATCCAGACTCGACATTGGGATTCCAACATTTGACGGGGATTATTTGGGACCTATATCGCAGACTTGGTGTTGACGACATTCCCATCTTCCCCTCTTCTTTGTCTAACCCCCCTCTTCTTCGTCGGTGTATGGCGGGGACGGATGCATTCTTCCTGTGCGAGCGCCAGGCCCCTTCCCACCATGGAATGATGATGATGTGTGTTTGGGGCTGCATTGCAACATTGATTGTTCGGATCATTGGTATCTAAGTCTTCCGCTACGCTATCCTGTACTTTGTGAGAGAGGTCGGTTGTTGTTCTGATCTGCACCGATACGGTATGCGACACAGATGAGGAAAATATTACAATTCTGAATTACCTACCCTTCATCCCGCAAATACAACGTCCTGTCATTATAGTTGTATTTGGGGTATCTTTCAGTCTAACTACAGCTTTAATGACCGTACGTTGTATTCAGGGGACGAAGGGTAGGGCCGATCAGTTAGATGATGATATCTCAAAAAAAAGAAAAAAACGCGTGAAGCAGGACCTGCATGACACCTTTCCAAAGCAAAGATATTCTTCAGGTATACCTTGGAACCCACCGGAGCCGTGGTCCCACTAGCGAAGGGGACAGGTTAGAAATCATGAATCTGGCTATGTTTTATGCAAAAAATACAGAAAAACAGTTCTATCTCGATTTCCTGCTCCTATCCTTAAACACGTCCAGATTCATGCATTCAATCCGATGCTCTTTGCTAATGGGACCACGACCCAGGGCACCAACGGACCTAGCTCAATTGGTACACCCCTGAACTATTGAAATACAGACTCAAGTTTGAGTCCATATACCTTCAGATGAAGAGAATAAAATCATTCTTTCAAGAATAAGAAATTATATTATACAGTTTATCGGGAAACGGGCCCGGCGTCCCTTAGGGCCTCATCCCACCCTACTTACGGTAAGGAGAAGTAAAAAAGAAACGACAAAGAAGGGGCCATAACATTCGGACTGTGAAAGAAAAATTGTACTCCACCGTCCCGTTATTATAGGAGATATTACGTGGGTGGCGGCGGCCTTTGTGTGGCTGCGGCCTTTTCTGGATGAACCTGGCCAGGTAACGGGCAAAAAAGATAAGAAAAAGAAAACATAAAGCTACTGATCCCACAATACTTGAAACGTAAGAGAACCTAAAGGAAACCGAAAAGTTGGGTCCGCTCCTATCGGACCATGAAAGGAGAATCGCATCTCACAACTCCGAAACGAATGACCATTTTACAGGCATCGCGGTGCAATAATGTGGGAGGGTGGCGGATCAACGGAGGAAAGGAGGGAGTGACCGAAAAAAAAACAAAAAAACGGTAACAAAAAGTTACTCCAACTTTTTAGCGGTCGGGTACGGGTTGGCTTCTCTTGGAAAACGAGACAGATTCTTGAGTCGGCGATCACTCCCGAGCTGCCACGATAGAAACTGTTTCCACACCCTCCCACCAGCTGCGCAGCCACCTGCTCATACGGAAAGAAGTGGGATCCCCCGAAACTCATATTTTTACTTAGGGTCTGATCCGACTTCTTACAAGAACGTCACTTTTAGGCAAAATTTGGGATCTCACTTCTTTCCACGAAAGTAGGATCCCGCCTCTGAATGTCGGGGATGTGGAAACGGTGTCGTACGTGTAGGCACGACCGTGATCGCAGGGGCGGTAGTGCTTTTGGTTTTCGGG